TGTGTGTGTGTGTGTGTGTGTGTGTGTGTGTGTGTGTGTGTGTAGAGAGGTAGTCAGGCACCACTACATAGAAGGTGATGTTTCAGCTAAATTTTAAAGAAAAGGTAAGTGTGTGATAGTCTAACAGGGAAAAACTGGTAGAAAGCAACAAGAAGGCAGGCCTGGGAAATGGCGATGTCCAAAGTCAGCTGATTTTTTTCTTTTCCAGTTTATGATTACAGGTGGAAGTCTGCAAGACAGTAAAGACGCCCTACATTTGGCACAAACAAATGGTACCTTTATATAACTTTCACCCCCCAAAAAAATAATAAATATAAGAATTAAGTTATTTTGAAGAAATCTTTCTGAGAACTGCCTCAGGTAAAATACAATGGATCATGATGGTAGAAACAATAGGAAAACAGACTGATTTCAGTGAGACATGATTGAAATGAAAAAAATTCAGAGTACCCATTGGTATATCAGATGCTTAAATAACATACTCTCACTGTACTTAAAGATTATTTTAAAATTTCAGTTAAAGAAAATTAACTATTTACCTGGTAGGTAATCTGGTCTAAAATATTCCTGATGGAGTTTTTTGTGTATTTTGTAATGTGTTTCTGTTAAGCTCTTTTTTTTTTTAAAGATTTATTTATTTGTGCATACAGAACTGGGGTACAGGCCAGAAGCTCAGGGGCGGTGAGAGGCTTCACCAGGGACAGAGTGGGGAGCAGAACAGGCATATGGATGAAGTACACTACTGAGGGGAGCAGCGGGCGGGTCAGGAGAGGTCTGCTGTGCCATGTGGTCACCTCCGGGGCAGGCCGGGATCAAACTCATGCGGAAGTGGCTTTAGCTTCTTAGTGCTGTGCTTTAACCCGTTGCGCCACCAGGAAGGGCCTCTATTAAGCTCTTTTAACCTAATCTGTGAAAAGATCATTATTGAAGACACTGCAGAGCAGACATTGTGAAGACTTAGGCATGCAGTTATATAATACATGGGTCTTCATATGCTCACTTCCTGCTCATTTTGTACTATAATAAAGTTTTTATATCTGTAATAAAGTTTCAGAAATGACTCCTAAAGGAATCCTAGATACATAAAATAACTTATATCTGCTTTTAAATTTTTTAGCCTATTTTATTTTTTTTTTTTGCTAGATGCACTGGGGGTTAGGCATTTTGAAATATTGATTTATAAAATATTTTAGAGGAAATCTTTCTAAATGCTTACTAATCTTCATGGTCCACTGATAATTTTTCTTAGTGATGTAGATCATAAAGATAATCCTCTTCCCAGAAGAGGATTCCCTCTTGAAATACATAAAAATACTGTCTTCCATACTTTTTATGCCCAGACGGATCCTCAGATCTCCATTTTCATCTTCCCTTTCCATGTACCTGAATCCTACTACTTTAAAAACTCTGCCTCCTTTGACATGTAAACGTTTGCATGGGGTCGCCAGCAAGGCTATACACCTTCCCCAGGGGTTCAGGGGAAGGTTCCCTAAAGCCACTCAAAATAACTTTGATCTCACATTTATGTTCCATACAGTTAAAGCTAAATCTGACCTCTAAATAAGTGAGCTTTGTTATTAGAAAAACCAATCCCCTCTCCCACCACTTAAATCACCCTTTTAAAAAGAATGCATTTTAACTATTAAATACATGAAACAAGACAGTCATGTGAGCAGCCAACATAAAAAATAAATTAGGTGATATTTCTTTCTCCAAGTAATAGCTTCATTTTTTATTTTCTCAAGCTCAGTAAATACCCAGCCTTAGAATCTGCAGCCACTGCGCGTAAGCTCAATCGCCGGCCAGGGAGCTGACCCACATGGCACAGCAGATATTCTGCTTATTTACATATTTATATTACATATAAATATGAAAAAATACTTTGAAAGTAGTACTAAAATGCTGTTTTGTATTAGATATGTTTTTCAGTACAGTTGGTTGTCATCCTACAAGATGTGATGAATTTGAAAAGAACAACCCTGATCTTTACTTAAAGGAGCTGCTCCATCTTGCTGAAAACAACAAGGGGAAGGTGGTAGCCGTAGGAGAGTGTGGGCTCGGTGAGTGCAGCTGCAGACAGCATTGAAAATAATGGCTTGTTCTGTCGAGACCTGACTACTTACCGACTGTTTTTATTTTAAAGATTTTGACCGACTACAGTTTTGTCCCAAAGATACTCAGCTCAAGTAAGAAAATTTATTTGACCTCAGAAATTATTGTAAATTATAAGCATGGTTATTAACAGCTTGTATCATTTCAGAATATATTTGGATGAAGCTTCAGGATTTTGTTTTTCCCTTTCTATATCAAAAAGCTTATTCCCTAACTGATTCACCACCGAATTTCATTTTAATGGTAGAAGTAAGAATAATTCTGCATGACTGAGCCTTTTTTGTATGTTTTTTAATTAATGCACTTGTACATGAATCTTTTCAATGAGATGAATTAAATTCAGCTATGAAGAAGTGTGCTTTAAGAGCAAGGGGTGCCCAAAGAGGATTATAGGAACCATCACCAAAGCTAAAAAAGCACCTTGTACTCTCACTAGAGAGTAGACACAGTCAACCTGGACCCTTTGCCAGGAGCTGTGTTGCAAGTGCCTGCTGCTGAGAAAATTCCAGGGTGTACATGCCTTAGAGACTGTTTCCCATCCATTACCTTAGCTGGAACTCCTGAGTCAGTGCTTCACACAGAAAAGAAAAACTAGGTCATGGGGTTCATTTAAAACTTGAACATTTTATTGAATTTCAAGAACAGTGTCTAAAGGTGGTTAATTATTTTTCTACTCAACAAATACCTGTACTTTATGTACCAGAAACTGCTAGAATACAGTATACAAAAATATGAACAAGGTGTAATATCTGTCCCTAGAGACACTTATAAGCAAACCTCCATCCTGCTTAGTTTCTTCTACACAAAGAATGAATCACTTTCCTCTCTAATTCCCTTTTAAGATGCTATCCAACTCTGTTATAATAATTAATAATTAACCATTTTTATCATAGGATCTTGATTTAGCTTCTGGATGGCTGAAGGAAGTTTTCAGATTATTAGTACCAAAAGCGTCCTCCTCCTCTCCCTCCCCTGCGCCACCACAAAGGAGACCCTAATGTCCCAGGGCAGTTGAAATGGCACACAGTGAGGAGCGGGCTGTGGGCTGTCTAGGGAGCCTGTCACCCTAGACTTTAGCCTCCAGATTCTTGGAGTGTGAAGGTCCATACCAGGGGGCACAAGAGAGGGCACAGCATGTACTGTGGCTCTTTTGGGCCTCCCATTTATATAACCTAGCACCTCCCGTTTATATAACCTATCACTGCTTTGCAATTAGTCATATGTTATTTGCAGAGTTTTTCAGGGACATTTGTGTGATTAAAAGCTAGATTGATGCTAGATACCTCTTGAGTTTCATGTAGGTGAGCTCACTCAACCTAAAAAGTTCACACATTCATGTTTAAATTGACAAACAGTTTTCTGCAATAGTTTTTAGGTTAAGCCCTAAGGAAGAGAGTCATACTTCCTCCACTTCTGCCTGTTTTAAAGATCAGCTGCATGAGGCAAACAGACTGTGTAGTGGTGGCAGCCAGGGGCAGTGGCGGAGCCCTGGATTTCTCGCCATTACACTGTTGTCCAGATGAGTTAAAACTGAGTCTGAAATGCAACCATTTAGTTTTTTGCATTACATGAAAATATTGATAGTACCAGTTCTGTTTTCTATTCTCAGTCTATTTCAGAATTTAAAACAATAGTGGGTATAGTTTATGCTTTAACACATGCCAGTTTTACACCTGTTAATCAGTAGTAGAGAATTTGATACCGACTGCCTCCTCCATATGATACAGAGAAGTACACTTTATTTCATACCTTACTGACAAGAGGATATAATTAGGTTGGAAAAATGCTATAAAAGTGTATGGACAGCAGAAGGAAATTTCTGACCTTCTGGGGGAAATCAGGCAAAGCTATGCCAAAATGAGGAGATGCGGAGATGGAAAAGTAAAGTACAGTAGACATTTTGAAAAGATAGGCTTTTTAATTGGAGATATTTTTTAATTACTAAACATCAGAGAACTGAATGAAAAAATGATACCTCAGCAGTAGTCACATTTGAGTTGTTACTAGAGAAACGAGTCCCCGCATCTCGCCCTCCCCGGCAGCTTACTGCCCGCACACACAGCACACTGCTTACTCTAGCACTCACACGTTGCCCTGAAAGTGCGATTGTTACTGCCCACAGTGAGCTGGGTCTCAGCTCTTCTCAGGCACATACCAAGTCTTACTCACGCAGCTCCTGTAACACCCAGCTCAGTACTCTTGAGCACATTCGGGTATTCAGTAAGTGTTCATTGAATTTTTAATGAGAACAGAGCGGTCTTGTACTTTCATCTAGTCAGATACAATGCGTAAAATTTAGCTTTTGTTGTTGTGTCTATTTTTGGAAGATTTAGATTTTGGCCTGTGTGCTTTTGGATCATCTGCAAATAGCTAACCCGCATATTTGTTTGTTTGTGTGTAGTCAGGAAAAGGAGATGTGTGGCTAGAGGGAAATAGAAAGTAAATGAGAATAGTCAATTAGGAGGCAAGACAACCACCTAATGTGCAATAAAGGTGGTATCTGCAAAGTAACGATAAATGAGGGTAGTCAAAGTGGAGTTTCAAAAGGACCACGGGCTCGTCTTTGGGATGAAAAGAGCTTTGGGTTTGAATCATGGCTGCCATCTGGTGTCTTTACACCCTTTGTTGGTCTCTATTTCCTCTTCCTCAAAATGGGGATGAAGCCATCTACCTTTCCTCATATTAGTAAGTGAAGCCGTGCTGCCACGCCTGCCGCGAGTAAGTGCGCCCCAAGTCCCAGCTGTTGTTTATGGTCTTAGAACTGTGCCACACGAAAGGAAAATGCTGGCTATGCTTTTTGTGCGGAATTTTTGAAAAGTCTTCTTAAAAAAACAACTAAAAAGCAAAAGTTCAAAACAAAGGGAAAGTCTGAGTTTCTCATGGAAAGGCTTGCTTGTAGCTGTACCCTGTGTTTGCAGTTTCTTAGGAATTCAGTTAAACAGAGAAATTTCCTCCCCAAATGAAGAGCCTAAGAGGTCAGCCCCTTCAAGAAAATAATGAGCGATCGATAGTCTGTAACTCCAAGCTTCAAGCAAAACTCTACGGCGCTAGTGACAATGAGAGGGAGCCCTGTGCTGAAATGAAAGAGGTGTACCCCACTCTTCCCTCAGGATGTTGTCTTATACTCTGGGACCAAAAAGAGGCTTCTTTGAAATGTCACAGTGTTTGGCATTTTGGCTGGGACCTGGAGCTAGGGCACTGAGGTTCTGCGTACATGGTTGCCACGCTGTGTGTTGTGGTTTAGACATCCTCTGCCCCAAGCTCTTTTCCTTCCTAGGGTGATTTTGAGGAGCAAATGCCATAGAGACAAATGACACTTGAAAACCCTTCTTACAAAGTATTCTAAAATACTTGTTTTGCATAATGTCTTAGTTTTGTGCTATTTATTTAACAGATTCTTACATGTAGTTTCCAGGGAAGCCTCTTTGCTCAGTGCTCTTCTGAACGGCACACGGAAGTATGAAGGGTGTCTTGGCGCCTCACTGGAGGGCTGGCACTGACGTAGGGCTGGCACCGACAGCGCTCTGGCGCAGCCAGGGCCGGCCGCGTGTTCCGCCCGCAGTGCTCGCACCGTCCGTTCGCAGGGAGGGCATCTGCTCCCTTTGCTAGGACTGGGTCAGAAAGCTAGTTACACCGTGGGGGACATTCAGGTAAACTTCACCGCCCTTTATGTCTAACAGTCAGCGTTGGAAAGTGCTGCCCCATTTACCCGGTGTGAGAAAACAACAGACATTTCTGAAAATAATTTTGTGATCTCAGAAAACAGTCTCCCTTTCCAGAAGTTGTATGTTATTTAGGTTTTACAAATAAGCCTGGTGTATTAATTGTGTCTGTCCTACATTTCTGTCCTAATTTCTAAAGGATAAGATTGCTCTAACCAAAAATAAATAACTCAACATAATTAATTGTATTTCTCATGCTAAAATAAAAATTTTAACAAGGAAATCTTTTTTGTATTACAAGATATTTTGAAAAACAGTTTGAACTATCGGAACAAACAAAATTGCCAATGTTTCTTCACTGTCGAAGCTCATGTGATGAATTTTTGGGTGAGTTAAGGCTAAAATTTTTTACAGAATTTAAAAATTTTGCAGAAATCAAGCAATTTGCTGAAATTTCTGTTTTTTAATTCACAGATATAATGAAAAGAAACAGAGATCGATGTGTAGGTGGAGTGGTAAGTGTTAAGAGTCATTTTTAATGGATGATGCACGAAAGCATCAGTTATTACTCACATTGGCGTCTAAGTCATTCACGTGTCAGGCTTTTCTCTCATTTGAAGGACATGTAAGTTTACTGTTGGATCTCTGGCCATAGGTCATCCAATATAAACCATACTTTTAAAAAAAAAATAATAGTTCAGTTTTACATCATTTTGTGCCTTTTTCCATCTCACTTGTAATCCCTGCCGGCTTCCCAAATCACCTGTGTGCCATCACCATAGTCCTGTGCACTTCCCCCTCCCCCCCACTGCCATCATTGATCCCACCCCCCACTCCACCCCCATAAAATGTCTCTCTCTGCTATATAGTTGTTCATTATTATTTTCTCCCCTGGTCCTTTATACTCCTGCTATGAGTGAAACCATCCAGTATTTTTCCTTTTCTTTCTGGCGTATTTCACTAAGCATGATCCCTTCCAGCTCCATCCATGTTGCTGCAAAAGGCATGTGTTTATCTTTTTGATTGCTGAGTAATATTCCATTGTGTATATGTACCATATCTTTTTAATCCAGTCATCTATTTTTGGGCATTTCGGTTGATTCCATGTCTTTCCTATTGTAAATAAAACAGCAATAAACATGGGGGTGCAGGTGTCTTTTTGAGTCAGTGATAAACCACACTTTAGTTACTTGTTCAAAGTATAAGAATTGAACCCAGACTTCTGGTCTCAAGAAAGCCCATGGGTCTAAACTACACATTTTTTTAAAAAAGATTTATTTATTTATTCGTACAGAACTGGGGTACAGGCCAGAGATGTGGAGGGTGAGAGGATTCACCAGAGACAGAGTGGGGAGCAGAACAGGCAGATGCACGAAGTACACTGCTGAGGGGAGCAGCGGGCTGGTCAGGAGAGGTCTGCTGCGCCATGTGGTCACTTCTGGGGCAGGCGGGGATTGAACTCATGCAGAAGTGGCTTTAGTTTCTCAGTGCTGTGCTTTAACCCACTGCGCCACCAGGGAGGGCCTAAACTACACATTTTAACAGTACGTGGGATATTTCTTCTCTGCCTCTTCTGACAGCCATTCAGAATGTTCTTCACTTTAAATTTTGAATAAAGATATAAACTAATTTTAGTCATACTTTAAGATGTTGTCACATTCATTTCAAGTTTACCTTGTTTGTCAACTCTATTCATAAACTTATCACCATGACCTAGAGCCTCCTTTCTTGCACTTGCTGCTTCCACCCTAAGCCTTTCTCAGCTAGGGTCATTTCAGTCATCAGCATTGAAGTGTCCTCTGCCCACCACTTCACTCTAGTGGCCATGCTAGTGCTTTTTTTATCTTTTCTGGATCATAGATGCCTCTGAAAATCTGCCTCAGAAAATGCTTAGAAATACATATTATCTCTTCATTGGTCTCCAGGAGGAAAAAAAAAAAACTTATCTAGCTTTTAAAACACTGTATTGTGCCAGCTGAGGAAAGGGAAAGCTCCGAGACCTTACGGTGTACCGCATTGTGTTGCTTTGACATTTCACATACAATCTCCCAAGTTTGTATTCAGCCACTGTGTCACATTTTACACTGTGAGTGCTGTGCATTTCCCGTGCAGCTGTGGTAATGATATTACTGAGCAATATGACCCTGCAGTTTATTCTTTAGGAACTGCACTGGGGAACTGAGAGACTTTCACTAATGCCCTTGAATTGCTGGTGACACTTTCAGTCTCTACCTCTCAGACCCTTTGCTTTATTTCTAAGTAAGAAGTGGATTGGATGATTCTATAATGGTTTTTAAAAAAATAACAGCAACAACAAATCCAACTTGTGTTCAATTTTAACTTAAAAAAAAAAAATTACCAAACAAAGAATAATTCTCTGAAATATTTGCTGAAGAGTCATGTTTAAAATTATTTTGATATTGGGGCCCTTCCCAGTGGTGCAGCCGGTTAAAGCACAGCACTAAGAAACTAAAGCTACTTCAGCATGAGTTCCATCCCTGCCCCAGAGGTGACCACATGGCGCTGCAGTCCTCTCCTGACCCGCCCGCTGCTCCCCTATACATTGTCAGACGGCCTGTGCTGCTCCCCACTCTGTCTATGGTGAATCCCCTCACCACCCCTGCACCTCTGACCTGTACCCCAGCTCTGTATGCATAAATAAATCTTTTTAAAAAATTATTTTGATATTGGGCCTCCTTGGTGGCTCAAGGCATTAAGTCTCAGCACTGTGAAGCTATCAGCAGCATAAGTTCAATCCCCAGCCAGGGAGCTGACCCACATGGCGCAGCAGACCTCTCCTGTCCAGCCTGCTGCTCCCCTCAGCAGTGTATTTCAGTAGATCTACCTGTTCGGCTCCCTACTCTCTGGTGAATCCTCTCACACCCTCCCCCCCCAACCTGTGGCCCATACCCCAGTTCTTGTGTACATAAATAAATGTTTTATAATTTTTTTTTATTTCATTATTAATAGAGGTACTTTTTTGCCGCTGGAAATGCTGAGGAGTGCCTTTGCAGTGTAGTTGTTGAGAATTCTTTGGACTTGGTATTAATGTGCCATCACTCGTTACACATACTTGAAAGACTGTTGTGACTAATTATCTTGATTACATAAATGCGTCCCAAGTGTGAGGAGCTGCACTGTCACCCCTTTCTGTCTGTGAAGGGGAGGAGCACCATCTTAGTCTTTGTCTGCTGAACTGACACTGACATACTCAGGTTTTTTGTAAATGTTCTCGCAACCTTTTTACAGATCTTAAAACTTGCCTCTATAAAGTCTTGTCTAGGGGAAAAAAAGATTCTTTTTTTAAGATTTATCTTATGTGTTTATGAATACAAGAGCTGGGGTGCAGGCCAGAGGAGGAGTGGTGAGAGAACTCACCAGAGGCAGAGTGGGGAGCAGAGCAGGCAGATCCACTAAAATGCACTGTTGAGGGGAGCAGTGAGTCATCCAGGGGAGGTCTGCTGCACCGTGTGGGTTTGGCCACTGGCCTGGCATCAAACTTGTGCTGCAGTGGGTGCCAGCAGCTTCCAGGGAGGCACGGGAAAAAGGTGTCTTCTAACAGAAAAATTAAACTGCTTTAAAAATACATCAAGTTAGGCCCTCCCTGGTGGCGCAGCGGGTTAAAGCACTGCACTGAGAAACTAAAGCCGCTTCCGCATGAGTTCGATTCCCGCCTGCCCCGGAGGTGACCACATGGCGTGGCAGACCTCTCCTGACCCGCCCGCTGCTCCCCTCAGCAGTGTACTTCACCGATCTGCCTGTTCTGCTCCCCACTCTGTCTCTGGTGAAGCCTCTCACCACCCCGGAGCCTCTGGCCTGCACCCCAGTTCTGTATGCACAAATAAATAAATCTTTAAAAAAAAAAAATACATCAAGTTAAAAAAGAAAAATACATCAAGTAGCTTTATATTTCTAACTTTTTCTCATGTTGTTGCCTAAGAATCTGGCTCCTACCTCCACCCCCCTACCCCCCCCCATCCAAGGTACTGTGGTTAATGCCGCCGCAGAAACACGAAGTCCAGGCCGCCAACTCCTTGCCTCATGTCCTTGGAGAAGATGGCAGATTGTAACTGAAATTTGACTAGAAAATAAAAATTGTAGGGACTACTCTGTTTGAAACCCTGTGGTTCAAAAAACCCTAATGCATCTCTCTTTTTTTAAAAATAAATTCTTATGGCCCTCCCTGGTGGTGCAGCACTGAGAATCTAGGGCCGCTTCCGCATGAGTTCGCCTGCCCCGGAGGTGACCACATGGCACAGCAGACCTCTCCTGACCCGCCCGCTGCTCCCCTCAGCAGTGTACTTCACCGATCTGCCTGTTCTGCTCCCCACTCTGTCTCTGGTGAAGCCTCTCACCACCCCGGAGCCTCTGGCCTGCACCCCAGTTCTGTATGCACAAATAAATAAATCTTTAAAAAAAATTAAAAAATAAATAAATTCTTACTATAAAGGCTTAGAATGTTAAAGAAAGCATCACGGTTATATAGTGAAACCTCACCTCTGTGTCTGTAGGTGCATTCATTTGATGGTAGCAAGGAGGCAGCGGCTGCTTTGATTGACTTGAATCTCTACATAGGAATTAATGGTTGGTAGGTCCTTAAATTTTTTTTTTTTAAATTTTATTTAAGAAAAATTTTGCCATGAATTGCTGATGAAGATTTAAATTTATTTTATGGAAGTTTGTGTGTTTTTTATTGACCTTGGTCTAAGAATATCAGTAATTATACATGTCAAAAATATAATAGTAAATAGAAAGTAAAGAGTACATGACAATTAGAAGTTAAAACTTGAAAATTATAAACTACTATCCTGTGCTTCATTGATGGAAAACGTTTTGTGTTCAGGTCAGCAGCTCAACTTATTCTCAGTTCATTTTATTCCTTTAAAATGTCCCTGGCCATGTCATTCAGGTGCAAGTATCCTAGGTGATGTCTGATGACAGAGAAGAGGTCGTGTGTGACATGATTGTTTTACATGTGTCTGTTGGCCCAGAAACTGAGGCCAAGAGAGGCCAAGGAATGGATATAAAATAGCCCCAAGGGTGTGCATGCCGGGGCCCTCTGGCTCCTCTCTTGGCGACCTCTCTGCAACTGGAACAGCACCAAACCCAGTCAGCTAGCACAGGTGGGTCCCTGACTCACTTTCTTCCGAATAATTTACTGAGTTTCCGCCACTCTCTACAAGATGTCAGTGTAGTTCATAAACTGCACCCCTTCAGTGGTTTTGTTTCCTTAAAATTACTACTTTCCTGATGCCATAATTTTCTACTAAGATCTATTTAAGAAATAGAATCATGAAATTGCTTATTTGCTATAGGGTTCAGACTTAAATGTCCTGGATACTTTCATATTTGATTTATAAATTAATATGTACAGGAATATATGCATAAGTATTAAAAAGTAAAATATTACTAAAGGTTGTATAAAACCATATTTCAGAGAGGCAAGCACTTTGCAATTTGCCACTGTACGCCTGTTCCTACCTTCATTTTCCTTCAGCAGTGTATGTCTGGCCTACCTGTTCTGCTCTCCATTCTGTCTCTGGTGAATCCTCTCGCCCTTCTGCACATCTGGCCCACACCAAGATGTATACAGCTCTAGTATCCATAACTAAATCTTTAAGAAAAATAAATAGGGCATTCCTGGTAGCACACGGCTTTAAGTAAGTCTCAGCATTATGAAGCTATCACCAGCCATAGCATCAAGGGAGCTGAACACAGGACGCAACAGACCTCTCTCCTCTCTTGCCCGCTGCTCCCCGCAGCAGTATATCTCAGTAGATCTGCCTGTTCTACTCCCCACTGTCTCTAGTGGATCCTGTACCTCTGGCCTACACCCCAGCTCTCATATGTGTAAATAAATAAATCTTTAAATGTAAAGGAGTCAGAAGAATTGTAATTTGATAGGTTTAAACAGATTTAACAAACGAATCAATTATGTATGACATTTCATTTGGATTCTCAAACTTAAGGAGAATGTGTGCCATTGAGATACTTTTTAAATATGAGATATATATGATTAAAAAAAAGTTGGACTTGTATTAGAATAGTGTTGTGCTTGTATTTTTTAAGTCCTTAATGCCTAGAGATATATGCCGAAATACTTACTGGAACACTGAAATGTTGAGACTAGACCTTTGGAATTTCCTTCAGGATAATACAGAAGAAGGCAGGGGAAGTGAAAGGGACAGATCTGCCAGGGGTCAATATTGGATGGGACTGGTTGATGAATACATGGGGGTTCTGGGTTATTATGTGTATCTGAAATTTCCCATAACAAAGTTATAAAACATGGTGAAGTTAAAAATGTAACATAAGACAGTGTTAGTCACCTAACAACATTATATATAGCAAACCATCCTAAAACTTAGTGGCATATTACAGTTTTTTTGGGGGGTCTTTGGGTCAACTGGGTTTGACAGATACAAGGGTAAGTTATCTGCCACAAGGGTTCATTCACATTTGTACCATGTTTCTCATTCTGGGCACTATGCATGTGAAGAATGTTACCCGTACACATAATTCTAACAATGAATGTGATTTTCATTCTTTATGAAAGTTCTGTTATGAGCCGTGGAACATAAACTAATACTGTCTAATACTGATCTTTCATACCATGAATCCTCTGTATTTGGACCATCCCTTTGCTCAGTGAGGGCTTCTAAGTTAGGCAATTACTCAGAGAAGCAAATTCTTGTAAAAAAGGTAAATTTTACTTAGATTCATGTAGAAATTATTGGCTAAGCACAAACAATTGTATCTTTATCCCCCTCAGTTCCTCCAAAGGCAAGATACAGTTGTATTCCTTTTTTAAATTTATTTTTACATCATTCTTCATTTTGTGCCTTTTTCCACCTTGGTTGTAATCCCCAGGGATTTCCCACCACCCATTTGCCCGTGTGCAATCACCATAGTCCCACGCACCTTTGTTACCCCATTTTTGACCCCATTCCCCACTCCACCCCCATAAAATGTCTCTGGTATATAGTTGTTTGTTGTTTTTCATTTTTTTCTTTATTGCAATTGCTTTTTTTAAAATCCATGGTCCCTTACATTGCTGCTATTAGTGAAACCATCTGGTATTTTTTTCTTTATGGTTTATTTCTCTAAGCATGATCCCTTCCAGCTCCATCCATGTTGCTGCAAAAGGCATGAGTTTATCTTTTTTGATTGGTAAGTAATATTACATTGTGTCTATTTACCACTTAATCTGGATTCTGTAAGGCCAGGAATATACAGACGCTTCCTAAGTAGCCTGCCATTGTGATCAGTTTGTTTAGGGTCTAGGTTTTGTAATGTTTTAGACAAGTTTGTAATATGAAAAAGTTACTCATTAAATTTACCTTTTTTTTTTTAAGCTCACTGAAAACTGAGGCTAATTTGGAAGTTTTGAAGTCAATACCCAGTGAAAGACTAATGATTGAGACAGGTAAGTTTGGTTTTAGAACCTTAACTTTCCTAAGTAGACAGAAAAAGAGCTAGAGAAAAGTGAACAACTAAGCAACATGCTCAACTTCAACAGTTACACTTTTCAGAAAAATTTGAACAGTTATCAATTGATGGAAAATATTTATGCAAGCAATTTTCAATTTTAGAAGTTTGCCCCTACACAGTTAAAAACGTGCTGTCTTAATATGTGGTAACTAAGGAGGTTGTAGTTGTGGTTAAACTAGGCGTCTTAATGAAGTATTTTACCTCAAGATTCCAGAGCTGTTGTGAGTTTGTTTTAACACATTGTTTTCTTTATAGTGGCTTCATTCTACAATACTTAAATAAACTGCAAAAATGAAAATCAAACTAGTCTTAGAAAGTTAAACTTAATGTTGGCTTAAAATTAAAAGGGAAGTAAAATTTTTATCTAAACTTAAGACATAAGGCTTTCCTTATATACACAGACTTTAGTGAAATCAAGAATAGAGAAATCAGAATGACTTCTTAGGGGCAATGAAAACGAGTGATTGTTTTAAGTATGCTGATAAAATGTGTAGGCAATTGTAGTTCCTTAAGAAAAGTAGGGCAGTACCCAGAGCCACCGTCACATTCAGTAAAGGCAGAGTTTAAATGTTTTCCTATCAGTTATATTTTAGGTTTTGTTCTAAAGCATATCATACACCATCAGTAGTGTTAACAGAAAAAAGTAGTTTTGTAAAGCATCGAGTTTGTACAATTCAGGAGTCTGTCATGTGCTTTTCTTAGAACTGTTCTGTTTTTTGTTGCTATTTTAGTTTATGTTAGAGGTTATAGATTATGTGTGTGTGTGTGTGTGTGTGTGTGTGTGGATTTTAATAGTAATTTTTAAAGTTGAGAGACTTCTTTGCTTAACTCTAGATGCACCTTGGTGTGGAGTCAAAAGTACACACGCTGGGTCAAAATACGTAAAAACTTCATTTCCTACCAAAAAGAAGTGGGAAAATGGACACTGTTTGAAAGACAGAAATGAGCCCTGCCATATAATGTAAGTATTTTGGTTTTATGGCCTTACACAACATTAGCCAGCAGTAAATGTCAGTGGATTCGAGGGAACTTAAGGTGATCAGACTGCCACACAGTGTGATTTGGAGGAACTTGGCCCTGACGTACTCTAGCTCAGCTCCTCTCTTCAGTGCCTCAGTCCAAAGTGGAGTGGCACACCAGAGAAAACTGGGGTTTGGGTTGTCACTGTGTAGGCGAGGGAAAGAGCATAACCTACCCATAGACTTAACACCTCCTTTACAAGTTCTTTGCCATGTAGCTTCCCTGTGGATGGTTATAAAATTGCAATCTTAGCAGGGGACCTTTCTGATGGCATATGTATTTTCAGCAATTGGACAACATGGATGAACCTAAGAACATATTCTTTAAAGCCTCTGAACAAAAACAGTTGTAGAACTTGCTTTTCCCACTCACCCACAAAGCACACAACTTAATAGAATTTTATTTCCTAGAAATACTGTAACAATCATTTTTGATGAAAATACACAGCACATGTTAAGAGGGGCTCCTGTAATCCTCAAGAACAGTGGGGCATGTTAAGACTTTTAAGAAGTTTGTTATTCCTTTTAATGGGCACATTCTTCAGTGTTTTTTTGTTTGTGCAAACATAATTTTAATCTATAGACTATATTGTTCTAGTACGTTGTACCAGTTCAGGCAACCAAACATATGTGTTATAAGAATTAATATGTATTGTTACTTTTAGACTGTAGTAACTTCCTGCATATGTACCATCTTTTAGAAATCTTTGAGAAGAGCCAGATCTAAAATTCCCAAGACAGAAAATTGCAGAATTATTCTGTGAAAATATTGGACTGATTCTTTTAATAACTCTGTTGGCAAAGGCTTTAAAGCCAAATATTTTTAAAAACTGAAGGGTGAGGAATATATTTAAATTTGAGCTAGGAATCTGATAATTTTTATGAAATATAAGAACTTGGCAATATTATCAGTCAGCTGATAGGAATGTATGGCCGAGCCACTGTCCCTGGCAACTACTGGCTTGCAGGGAAATAAAGGTGACATTTCAGCTGTTCCCAGCTCTTGGGAGTTATGCCCTACCAAAGCACACACCTTGAGCAGACTGCAGCAGGGCCTGTGTGAGGGCAACAATGAATTCAGTGTGGTGGAAAGTAGGATGCAGAGGTAAATGATACACCTGGGAAGGGAAGGGAAAGTGAAGCCAGGTTGGGATGGCCTCTCCTATGCCAGTCTTGGTTTAGATTATATCAGGGTCCAAAAGATTTCAAGCACGAAAGTATCACTTCTCTTTTAAAAGCGGTCACTGGTGTCAGTGTGGAGCAAGGATTGGAGAGGATGACATTGATGAGCACAGTCCTACGCACGTAAATTCTAATTCCAAGTCATCGAAGGAAAATTCTCTGATTTACTAAGAAAAAACATGGATCTTTAAATTGCTTTTAGCATATTTTGAGTGTCAGATAAAAATTAAATAGTCACTTCATTTTATGCTATCTCTAACCTATCCCTATCCCTAGCTTCCTAGTGCTCTGAGGTGTTCATACATAAGAAGCCTACAAGGGGAACAAGTGCGTAGGACATTATTTAAATGTTTAATTTTGACTTTAAAACTTTCTAATTCGTGTAAAAAAAATACATGTCACTAGAAAATACTACTGATAATTATTAATCTAGATAAGAGAAACTGATGACGCCTGAACTATCTTTCTCAGGGAAAAAAGATGAGAAGATTCCTTACCCACATCGTACCACTAACTTCTAACTTACTTTGTTGGCATTGAGCTAGTGGAAATACAGCAGTTTCTTGCTGTCTTTAAAAGTCTCTAAGCAGTGGCCTTACAACTTGGCCACCTCCACGTATGACCTGCACTGTGACTCAGTGCACATGTACAAGCGCAGTGTGCTTTTCCTTTAAGCTTTTTAAACAGTCATCGTGACCTAGTCAGTGGTTCTGACCCAGTTTAGGAGGAGTCTTCCTGGGCACTGTGTTAATGCCGTAATTGTAGCTCACATAATACAGGCTGGTTTTGTAACTTACATTAACCAGATCCTTGGCTCTAGTTATGCGTAAAACAACCCAGAAGTCTGTCTCTGATAACTTTGAAATATCCCACCAGTTAAACTATTCTGTTGATATTGCTGAAAACTAATACCTGTTAAACATAATGTTTAATAAGTTTAGGATACTTAGAATAGTATCTTTATGTGGTAAAGATCGTTGTACTTGGAAATGTAATCATCTGTTTGTGTTTTGTTATAGTCAAATACTGGAGATAATGTCAGCAGTAAGAGATGAGGATCCCCTGGAATTAGCCAATACACTATATAACAACACCATTAAAGTATTTTTTCCGGACATGTAACTGGTATATCTTCCATTTTCCATCATGTATGCCAAATTTCATGGTAAGCTGTATTAAAAATTTTAATAAAGGAATCTCTGAACTTAGACATGTTATAGATGAGTGTATACCGTCACCCTCATTTTTTATCCATAAAATCAGATCAGAATTGTTTTAATATCACCACCTTTAATGTCCTAGTTTAAAACAATGAAAAACCCCCAAGTGTTTCATCTTGTAATTCCTTCGAAGGTCTAACGGACAATTTTATACCAGTGCTGCAAACACAGAACGGCTAGCAAACATACTGATTTTTACATCAAAATTAAACAATTAGCACATTCTGGTTTATACCAAAGTTTAGCTGATAGAAGCCTATTTCTCAACTCACACAATCTCTGAATCTTGGCTTTCGAAACTGGCTCAATGACAGTGCTACTCTCAAATTTCATAAAAGTGTCTCAATCATTTCTGGCAGACTATTTTTTTCCTGAGTTGTAAAATTCTTCATATATTGCCTTTATCCTTTGGTCCAAATTTTTTTATTTCCGTGATTTAATCAGTTTCGTCAGCTATGCATGTGCATTTTCCCACCCATTTTAAAGAAAAACTACGTTCCAGAATTAGAGAGAGATACTTTCATTGAGGAATCTTTGGCACAGTTGACGCACCATATTATTACATCTATTAAAAAGCTATTTGTTCAAATTTTGTCATAAAAACGTGAAAACATTTTATTCTATGTACAATAATGTACACAAATTTAAATAGGTCACCAAAGAGACCAGAAGTAATTAAAGAGGTATATTTACAGTAGCACATCACAGTAAACGGAAAACCATTCACAGATTCAACATTGATACTGTTTTTGTGCTTGGTTACACATTGAAGTGAAGCATATTACTCCATTTTGGATGAACTGAATTTTAAACAAATACCTCAATGATTAGTAAATGCTATTTTAATCAGTATCATCATTAATAAATTCTTCAGCGGCTGCGCCTGTGTGCTGAATCACTCCATTTCTTTCTCTTTGAACATCATCATCATAATCTGTACTGTCATCCTCGTTCAACTCCCTGTCAGATTCAGCAGCAGCAGCAGCAGCAGCAGCAGCAGCAGCAGCAGCAGCAGCTTCTCTCACAACTTCCTCTGGATTTTCATTGGGTGCGATAAATCCATTGTTGTTAGATATATTTGAATTATCCTTGATATCATCTTCAATGTACACTTTTTGATGGCACATTGGACAAGTATCTTGAATGTACAGCCATTTCCGAAGGCAAAGTGCATGGAAATAATGATTACATGGTGTGATACGAGCAGATGTTGTAAACTCGTGGTAGCAGATGGCACATACATCATCTATTTCTTGCAAGCGGCTCCCTTTTATTTCAGGAAGTGAATTAATTTTCTTAACAGCTGTCCTACGATTCATGAACGTTTTCCAGCCATTTTTTGCTTGTAAGTAGATGTTAAAATATGCATGTAGACACATCATACAAGCCCGAATTTTACTTCCTGATTCAAACATCATGGTATAAGCCCCATTTCCAAACATTACTACTCCAAATATAAATTCAATAATATTGCCTGTTGAACGAACATAATAGACATAATCATCAAGCTTTTCCCAGAGGACATTATAATAGCCATCAATCATGAATAACGTATAAACAGTGAGCGAAACAATTACTTTCAAGCAGAGTTCAACACAAAAGGCTGTCACTGCAAACAACCATGTATTTAGTGCATAGTGATGCCAAAGAACATAACTAAGTAAAACAGGAAGAATGAACAGGCAAGCAGAGACAAAGAGCACAGGAAAATGTCTACGAAAAGATGACACATGAGAGGCACTGAGCGACATTAATACAGGGTCTGTCATTCCATGGATGAAATGGAGGACTGCAGTTAATAAAAGGCACATGTTTCTACTTAAGCGAATAAGTCTTTCTTCTGGTCTTAGTCCACTCAGACCAGTCTGGAGAGCCAGAATAAAAAATAGAACAGGTGCTACAAAGCCAAGCCGCCTATCATCTTCTTCAGTTGAGCCAATAAAGGCTAAGATCCCAAGGCCCAAGTAATGGGCTACCGAGGAGATTACAGCACTCATCCCCAGTACAGTTAGTGTAGAATCACAACCACTAATTATAAGATTGCAAATGAGGTCCCAGAAATCATCCCAAGAAATAAAGAAGGAATCAGTTTCATTTGCCATCCTTAAAATGTACATTAACACTGTCGCCTGAGCTGTAATTCTTGTTAGCCAGAAGACTCGCAGTATGTCTGGAAAACGAATCCTCTTCCATGTGTCTTCCATTAGTAACTGTAATCCATAAATTCGATACATGTGCCTCACTAAAAGATAAACGTATCTTGTGGAATAATAAAACCACCTAAGTTTCACTGCCAAGACAAGTACTGTATTTAATGTGAGAATCAAGGAAGAAGTAAAAACTAAAGTCTCTCGGATGTGTAATGGTAGCTCTGTGATTAAACCTATTATAGGAACCAAGAGATCCAAAATAATTAATTGCGAGTAGATGGAATGAATCTGGAGTAGTGTGATGTATCCAATTCCAAACGTCAGCTGCAGAACGATGAGTACCATCCAGAGTGAGGGGCCTTTCCGAGGAAGCAGCTCGATTCCAAAAGCTGATGTGTTATAGGCACCATAGAAGTCAATGTGCAAAGACGCGTAATAATTTACCAACACTGACGTTGCAGCTAAGAGAAAGGCTGAGCTGTACATGTAAAACTTGAAAAGTGATCGCTGTGACAAAATCAGAACAATACTGGATACAAATATACCTAAAAAAGGAAAAAGGAAAAGGTCATTGAATAAAACATTTAAAAAAATGTTTCTCTACCAAAGGCTCGGAGGTTCTTCCTTTGATCAGGAAACATGAGTATTTGTGAAGTTAGGAGTGTTAAGCCTGAAGACAAATTCATTGACAACGGCTAATGAAGGCTGTGTTACAGTCAGGCCAAACTTAACTATTTTTTAAAATCTCATCCTTTATTTTCTAATTTCCAGTATAATGCAGTAGTACTGTGTGTCTAAAAACCAAATCATTAAATTGTCTTTCGGATGAGTTTGTAGTGACTCACACATTTCAACAAGTGTTTAAATCTTGAAAGAACATGCCCTTTATAATTTCATAATCATTAAAAATATTTCATTACCAAAAACACTGAGTTAAAAATAACCAAGAAAAAATTTTGTTCCTACTGGAATTATTTTTATTAAGTAGCAGTGTCCTTTTGGAAGACAAGTTTAAATTATACACATGATGTCTTTTTTCTCAAAATGAATTTTCAAAGTTAAAATCCAGTGGCTCTTAACTTTTCCTCTTCCTTAAACTTGAACATTTCCAAATTCAGTTGTTTCCTCTACATACCCTTCCTACAGATCTCAGGTGTGTCCTCCAAGTTAGTCCCTTTTACCCTGTATATTGCTGAAAGTTTTTCTTCAAATAACCAGTCTTTTTCAGTGTTCTAACATCCAGAAGAACAAATCTTGTTAAAAGTCAGAACCCCCCATAAGTAACATATCCCACACCATCTTTCTTTTTTGCACTCTGGCAAATGTGACATTAAACACCATGCAAATATTCACTGAGTTCCACTTGTACAACTGCAACCTTCAAATGTTTAAAACCTAACTCTTTGTGATTTCCAATCTCAATAAAAATTAGCATTACTGTCCCCTAATGGGACTTCTAGCCATATACTCAAGCTTTTAACAATTAATTGCCAAATTCTATTAACAGCTGTATCTCTTCCACACTGTTGTCTGTCTCTAAAAGCTCACCTTGTCCAAATTCACCTATACATCACCAAATTACCTTTATTCCTCTACTCAAAATACTGCAGTGGCTTTTAAATTACTATCAACTAAAATCTAAATTCCTTGTTCTAGCATTCAAGGATCCAATGTTCGAGTAATACTCCTCTGAACATACACACCAACACTCCAAATTGCTTTCCCAAATTCACCACTAGCCTGGTGAATTCACCAGCCTTCTCTGCCTGACAGTTCAAATCTTACAGACCCACTTGCTCTGATGTGACGATTCCTTCAGCACGCCTGCAGAACATGGTAAAGCACACTACCATTGTGGCTGCCTGAGGAGGTATTATCTACCCCATCACTCAGTGCTTGACAGCAAGCAAGGGTCCTTCCTTGTACATCTACAGATCCCAAAACAGTCTGGAAAAATACAATTAGTATTCACTGGAACAATCAGTGTTCCCGTCAAATTCTTAATTATTTTTTAAAGATTTATTTATTTATGCATCCCAGGCCAGAGATGCAAGGGCAGTGAGAGGATTCACCAGAGACAGAGTGGGGAGCAGAACAGGGGAGCCAAGTGACGAAGTACACTGCTGAGGGGAGCAGCGGGCAAGACAGGAGAGGTCTGCTGCACCATGTGGGTCACCTTCGAGGCGGGGATCGAACTTGATGCAGCTCGCTTGCAGTGCTGCGCTCTAACCCACTGTGCCACCAAGGACGGCCAAATTCTGAATTGTTTTTAAAAGCAACTCTTAAATATATCCTGTTCCATAAGAGTAAATCCTATGAAATGGTAAGACAAAAGCTGAGAAACCAGAGCTTGGAGTAAACACACAAACCAGCATGTGATCAGGAAAAGACCTGCATCTTACAATGCGGGCATTTCACAATCTATTCTGTGTAAAAGCCAAGGGCAAGTTACTCTAACTGATGAGTTTGCCCATGGACTTAATACTTTATCCTCTGTCAGGTTAGTTACGAAAAACAAAAAAAGAACACAACTCCAAGACACATGCCTCTTCCTAAGAACCTCTCCCCGATATGCACCCAGCTGGAGGGCCACTCGTCACCTCCTGAAGTGGCATGTGGGAACAGGTCGTTTCACTGTAACATGCATGTCTTCCAAAGAATTGGAAAGCCTTTCTATAGAAGCTAACAAAAAAGGAGTTAACTCTGCTCCGTATACTTTACGTAATCTTGCCTTCCCTACAAGAAAAACAATACTCCTGAGACAAACCTCCTAAAGTGAGTCAAAACCAAAATAATTGATTGCATTTTCTGCTACTTCAGAAGGAGAAAATCAAGCAGTGACTATACGTTGCTTTTGTCAACCTGCTATTCCCAAAGTGGTAAATCAATCTTTGCCTGTGAATATTCATAAATTTTGTTGTAATTTGTAACAACTTAATAGTTTTCCCCCTGGAAGTTTAACATACAAATGAAGGAATGATTAGGGATTTAGAAATACTTGTAGAGAAGTGCCATTTAACCTACACTGAGGAGAAAAAGAGGAGGTGAAATGTGATTTGACAAGCAAATCCTGTAGTGAGCCCCAACCTCATAACTTAAAAGTGTCCTAGCAAGTTACAATCTGATACTCCTCTTTCTTGATTAAATTATACCCCCCAAGAAATACTGATGACTAAAGATTTCAGGAACAGTATATAAACTTTACATTCCCTACCCAAATTTTGCATGCTTAAAAAAATTTTTTTTTGGAAACCCATGTTATATGTGTAATTAGAAGCAGCAGCTCCCATTTTAAAGGTGGGGATTGGAGGGGAAGGAGTCAAAATTCCCAAGTAACTAGTCTCTGGAGTAGCATTCCCTCTGTGGCCTTTAGGGAATACTGTCACTAAGTTTTTACAACTCAGACATAAAACTATTAGTATTTTTCCAGTAGGCCTAAGAAAATGAAGCATAGGGACAGTTTCTCAGTAGGATTTACAGGCTATCCACATAATCAAGGCTACATATAAATGCTGCTTTTCACCTTGGGACACTAGAGAATATAAGTAACAGAAATCACAACTCAGGGTTCAAGTTCTCCAGTACTGGAGTGTTCCACTCAAGTTCTCAAGGCAGGTTAAGAGGCATATCATATCAATTCTGGAGCCATATATGGACTCAAGTCATGAACAAATTCAGGGCTTTTTCAACTTGGACTAGCAATGCCAAACAAAAAACAAACCAAAAGCTCATGTTACATAACCAAGTGTTTAACTGTTTTATGTGTAAAGTCCATTCATATCCATAAATCTTTTCTGGATACATAGGACTATAAATTAGGAGGAAATAAGACATAACATTTACAATTCTCCAGATATCTTAAATATCTGTAGAACACAATCTAAAGCAAGGTGTGGAAAACTCTTCAACACCCTACAGAAGATAACTACCTTGCAATGAAGCATAGAATAAGTATCTTAAAATGTTCATCTCTAAGCATATTTAAAAAGTTAGCACATAACAATTGAGATGGAAAAAATGTACAAAATGATGTAAAAATAAACTTATAAAATAAATATATATATATATATAAAAGTTAGCGCATAAAGAAAATGTTTCAAACTTTTTAGGTTGTAAGAAAAAGACGGCACTCCCTGGTGGCACAATGGGTTAAAGCGCAGCACTATGAAGCTTGCTGCTGCCGCTTCAGTGCAAGTTCAATCCCTGGCCAGGGAGCTGACCTACATGGCGCAACAGACCTCTCCTGACCCACCCACTGCTCCCCTCCACAGTGTACTTCGTCCATCTGCCTGTTCTGTTCCCCACTTTGTCTCTGGTGAACTCTCTCACCATCCTTGTACCTCTGGCCTGTATCCCAGCCTCTGGCCTGTACCCCAGTTCTGTATACATAAATAAATCTTTAAAAAAAAGAAAAGACAAGTTTTTTTATTAGAGTCAAAATTTTGCTTTTAAACTAAGACTTTACCAAGCATATTTTTATTAAGAAATATGTGCAGGGGCCTCCCTGGTGGCACAGGGTCTAAAGAGAGTGCCATCAAGCTCTCCGCAGCCACTGCAGCACGCATTCGATCCCTGCTGAGCGAGAGACCCACATGGCGCAGCAGACCTCTCCTGTCTCTCCAACTGTTCCCCTCAGCAGTGTTTTTCAGCAGATCCACTTGTTCTGCTCCCACTCTGTGTCTGGTGAATCCTCTCACTCCCTCTGACCTACACCTCAGTTCCTGTATGCATAAATAAATAATTTTTTTTTTAAATTACTGTTACTTAAAAAATAAAGTCAGGGCCCTCCCTGGTGGCGCAGCGGGTTAGAGCACTGCACTGAGAAGCTAAAGCCACTTCCGCATGAGTTCGATTCCCGCCTGACCCGGAGGAGACCACATGGCGTGGCAGACCTCTCCTGACCCGCCCGCTGCTCCCCTCAGCAGTGTACTTCGTCGATCTGCCTGTTCTGCTCCCCACTCTGTCTCTGGTGAAGCCTCTCGCCTCCCCTGAGCCTCTGGCCTGTACCCCCGTTCTGTATGTACAAATAAATAAATCTTTAAAAAAAAAAAAAAATAAGTAAAGTCAAACCCTACAAATACCAAATGTAAGCTAAATTTTGCCTAAATACACACTCCTTTTTACTCAAAGATGACGTCACTATATACATAGGGGACCTCTTTTTTAACGTTAACGTCTGCTCCCTTCGTAATCTGCCATCTGCGGTTCTGCCACCCAAGAAGCAGGTTTTCGTGAAAACCCATACTGGGGAGACTTCACTCCCGAGGCTGCACGACGCAGGAGAGACAGGAGTGCCTCCCGGTCAGTGAAGACTGACCTCCCCGGTAGGTGGAAGAAAGGTTGCTTAAAGGTACATCAGCCGGAAGGAGGCCGCTCTTCGTTTTGTATGGAAACTGTGGTGCTAAGAAAAGAGTCTTACAGCACCCCCAAGAACACACACCAGAGAAGGGAAGTTGAGCTGGCCATCCTACATGTTAGTCGGGAGTGCCCATGGGATGTGCTGGAGTTCTGACAGCAGACACTGCAGTGGCAAATGCTGCCTGACCTACTGTTCTGACAAACCAGAAGAAAACTGTATAAAAAGCAGGAACAAAAGAAAACAAATCTGCGTTCCTGATTACTTGTCGAAGAGGCCATCTTCCCTTTACTGACCCTTCAGCTTGTTCCTTTGTGCACCGCAGCATGTCTTTGCCCATTCGTCTGTGGAATTGCTTTTTCTATCCTTACTGAATTGTAGATACTTGAAAAACATTTGGATTACAAATTCTTTGTCAGCTGTCTGCATCTTCTGCAATATGTGACTGGTCTTTTCACTTTTTTGATGTTATGCCTTGATTAACAGTTTTATTATTTTAATACTGCTGAATTGATCAATGTCTTATCCAACTGCGTTTATGTATTTTTTTAATTTTTCCTTTACATGAAGGTTAAATATTCTCTATATGTGCTAAAAGTATAAAGTTCTGTTTTTCACACTTACGTGTTGATCCATGTAGAACTGTATATACTGCCAGGGAAGGGAGGGCCTTGCTGTAATTTTTTCCATATGAATAACTAGACAATCACTAAACACATCTCTGTTTACCTGAACACACTGCGATTCTGCTTCTGAAACACAATACATCAAGCTTCCGTACCACACGGTGCTGTTTCTGGGCTCCGTTGTGCGCTGCTGGCCCAGCCATCAGTCTCAGTGCCCACTCCCCACTCCCCACCCTCAGAGCTCATGTGACAGTATCTTTCCCCGAGACCGAAGGACAGTACTACTGCTACTGAACAGAGACAAAAGAAACGCTGCTAAAACCCTACAATTCAAAGAACAGCCCACACTCCCAACAAAAATCATCCGGTTCTCAAGTCACTGGTATCACTGTTGAGAACCCTCCTCAATCTCTCTGCGGTCACAATTACTACCACTTCCCTTTGTTTTTCTTCATCACAGGTTTCCTGAGTTCTTTCTATACCACCAAAAATACTTTTAAAAATCCTTAGAAATGACAGGAAGTAACTATTTGCATCATATGAGGTTGAAGACCTAGTAAGAACATACTGCCAACACGTGCTTTTCAGTATCTTTATGGCTAACCCTGATGAACATTTACATTAACAATGCAGTTTTCTTACTATCCATGAATATCCTTGTCCAGTGTCTTGGTACAATGACATCGTGAGGCCAAATTCTTCGAACTGGAATTGAGAGTCAAAAGCTATATGATGGATTTCATGGACAGTACCATTGACCAGGGTAAGTGTGACCATGCAGCAGCATGAATTCTGGGGTTATGTGCAATGAAGCACACACACAAATCACGGTGTGAAGCTGTATCTCTCAAATTTGGGTACCCTCACCCATTCCTGCCATACCTTTGCCAAACTAGTTCTTATTCAAACTTTGAATGCTTCACCAATCTAAGTGAATTTTTGTTTTGAATGCATTTCTTTAATTGCAAATGCAGCTGACTGATTTTTCTTCAGCTTGACCACCTGAATTTCATCTATTGTATTGTGAATTGCTTATCTTGGACCCATTTTTCTCTGGGAAGAGAACTTTTTCTTATTGGCAGTACAGCTCTCACTAGGACTTCAGTCTCATATAATGCAAATATTCCCCTCCCTGTCATATTTAAGAATTTTTTAAAAGAGCTGTGTTATATAGTGTTTTTTATGTACTCAAGTTTACCAGCTTTTCCCGTTTAACTTCTGTATTTTCTTTTATGTTTAGAAAGGACTTTCTACTTCAGTGAATTATCACCGTATGAGTAACACTAATAAAAACAGGCTGCTATGCTTGCATCTTCTGCCTTGGGTTCAGATTTGTTAGTTCAGCATTATGCCGTACTGAGCTACACTTCATTTAGTATGCAACACATCCTAGCTCAATATCCTTAGTCTATATATATATTATATTATTTTGGATCTCCAAAGTGAGTTTATTTTTCTCACCTGCCGAATTTGCAAATTAATTTGATATTAAATGAAAGTACAGTTGTACTTTTTTGTAGGCAGAGGGGGGGTGAATTTTTCAGGTACTACACACAGAATTCACCTTTTATGTTTCCATCTTACAATTCTATTTTAAAGAAAAAAGTGAGACTGACAAATTTTAAAATTTACATACAGTGCTAAGAAGTGTACAATTTTTTTTAACACACAAACCTGTCATTTTCAATACCATGTGATGTGTCATTAATGGCTCTCAAATATTTAGGACAGTTGTTTTTATTCAGGGTTAGTTTTTAGCACCAAATCCACTTTTTTGAAAAAAGTACCTTCCTCATAAATGTGGGAAATTATCAAAATTATTATTTTGCATAAAGCAAAGAGCAGTCATATGATAGATGTGAAAAATACTGTTTCTCAAGTCTAACCTACAGAGTATACAGGAATCAAATTTTCAAATAAACAACATCTACATTTTGTTGATGCTTTCAAAAGACCAAAATATCTGTAATACAATGATCTTAACCATAGAATTAAAATGTTTTTTACAAGTTATCAAGTTTAATAATACCTCTATCTAAACTGCCCTTACTAGATCCTTGGTACTCTTCTAAGAGCTTAGAGACCAATTCACTTACTGTCTTAATAATACTGTACTGAGAGAAACCATCATCGTCCACCTTCTTAAAAGGTCAAGAGAAAAAAACAAAGCCACCAAGCAGTATTTCACCTTAAGTCACATTCTCTTTAATTTGTCAAACACAAACTTGCATGATTTACTACAAAAATTAGAAGCATGGATGGAATGCAAGGAATACCAGATTACTGTGTTCAATTTTCTTAAACTACAAATGATTTCATTAAGGAAAATCCCTTTCCTTAAAGCTCCCTAAGCCTGAGAACTCTGCATTACAGAAAGCCTCTGCCTCCCAAGGGGGCTCTGGGAAGTTCTGCAGTTACCTTGGTAAGAACGGTTGAGGCAACATCAACACTATTTACAGGATGAGTATGTGAATCCATACACACACAAAGAGAACATTACACTTTTGTGGTGGTAGGCAGGAATGGCAGGGATTAAGGAGCCTGTCGGTTACTGAGAAGTTTTGTGCTAAAGACATCACAGTCACATATGTTAGTTTTAAGACAGCGCGTGACTATTACTATACCATTCTGTATCTGGACTGCAGCTGTACTTAGGAGGAAAATGAACCACCCTTCAAGTCAAACGATTTTTAAGCTTGGAAACACTTGCTGTGTACCTAGAGCAAAACACAACTTAGCTATGACTCTCAGAACCTTCACTTGTAGAATGGAAACACCACCCATCACTCAAGAATGTTTGATAGTTAGGCTAGATACTACCAGAGCAAATGCTTTGCAAAAATAAAATGCCAAGAAAATTAAAATGTTTTATATTGCAAAGAACAAAACTCAACATTTATTGCCAGCTTTTTGTAGGAAGCAACAGATGGCCCCCAATTCTGAAAGGCTTGGTGAGGATCTCACCATCAGGCTGCCCTCAGCAACACTTCAAAGGCACTAGCCAACTAAAAATTGATCACAAGAATGACCTCATCAATGAAAATTGCCAAGTTTCAATTACTTTAAACAATTATTTTACACATAAATGCTTCTCACTCTGGAGACACAAGTATAAGATGGGAGTGAAATAAAAGGTGCTTTAGCACTCCACTCATATGCAACAAAGACGTTTCAGAAGTATATTTTCTAAAAGTTTCATCCCTTTGTAGCCACATTTTAATAGTCATTTTCAACACCTCCTTCTTTATTCATGGAAAATTTTAGGACTCCTAGGTATCGATCGCCTTCTTCAGAAAGATGTTTGGTGAATGGTTTCAAGGACTGACACTTTCGTTTGGATTATCATTTACCAGCGGATACTCCACGATCATGTGGGCCCCGTGCCAACTTAAGTGACAACACAATTCACATTTTCGAAAGGGGGGAAACTGAGGTCCGGGCCTTGGCTGAAGAAGTCCAAGGTCATACAAGGCGAGATCGGGGCAAGCATTGGTGCTGTTTTCCAAGGCTGTCGCATAGGACGCGGTAAGCCAGCACTCATTCCCCACGAGAAGCAGCAGGCAGTCGCTGCTCACACACCACGCTTTCTCCCACCGTCATTCAGGTGCAAAAATGAACAGAGGGCTGACTCGCTGGGAGGATCGGCCCGCAGTCAATTCTGGGACAAGTGTCATCTCCTGCCCCCTCTTTTCACCCTGCAAAGATGCCCGATGGGGGGCGAATCTGGTTCCCAAAGACAGACAGACACACACACACACAATAGCCCACGGCCTCCACGAGGCACATCTCGGCCTGCAGAGCCATCCCGGGACGCAGGCGATCCCGACCCCTTACCAAGGAGCCGGAGGATGATCTGGAGTCCGATGCAGAACTGGCTTTGGCTGGAATCGTAGTAGGAGTTGAAGATGGCGTCGATGATGTAAAGGCAAGGCACCCGGAGCGCCACTTCGAGCGCCGCCCAGACCCGCTGATAGGCCATCCGC